TCATTGGTTTGTATCGGCGGGTGGCGGCAGCAAGCTTTTTTATTTTTGCGCTCATAACACCCGCTTTGTTCATCCTTTTACGTTTGACCGCTCGACCGTGACGACGTCCCCCTGATAAATCCGCCCCCAAGTATGACACTTGGGATAAGGCCTCCAGTGGATATCCTGCTTGTCGAACCTTCCGTGCTACATATTTGGCATCATCCATGAAAGTACACAGCACTGCACTTGTTGCTGCCACTTTGAGCTTTTGCTTTTTCAATCCATCACATGTGTCCACCAACACTTGCACCAATTGCTTCCTAATCATGTGTCTGGATCCTTTTGTGCTTTGGCTCAAGTCGTCAATCCATATTCTGTGCGTGAAGTTTGGATGCGCAACAGTACATTGTTTCCAATATGAAGTAAAACATTGCTCTTGCAAATCTCGTTCCTCCTCTGCATCCTTGAACCACTGACTGTGTCGGGCTGAAGGGTTCTGAGAATGTTCCTGATTGTCGGAGCGTTCTCGGCGCTGCACAGCTTAATAATTCCAGATGGAGGATCTGAGCAGGGAACCCCAGCCTCAATGCACAAGTTATTAGTCTACACCACGTTATTGTGTCATAGAATCCTTTTATATCCATGAGTCCGTGTCCGAGGGGCGTGTTCAAAATTCCAGCTAACTCCTCGTCCAATACTCTTACGAATGCTTCTCTGAGGGCTGCATTGCCCTCCACTGCAGCGTCCCACTTGGGGGCCGTTGCCGTTGACCACTCAGCTACGTGTGAGTCCCGTGCTTGCGACCACACTCCGCTCAGCATTGACATCAATCCTATCACTCTGTCACCATCTCCACGATGTTTGGGAGGAGGAGGGGAGGGTCTTTCCTGTTTGTCGTCGTCTTCCTGCTGCGTCCCTCGTCTACCTGTTTGCTCCCTCGCCGCCTCTCCCATCATCCTGGCTCGCTCCGTCCTCGCGCCTCCAGACCCCCTCCCCTCATCCTCACAGCGCCGCGGCTGTCCGACCTCGCAGGCCTCGCTTATATGTGTCGTCCTGCTCTTTCCTCTCCTGAGCAAGCGATGCCCAGCGACACGCCCGTGGCGGCTGCTTGCCGTCGCGGCGCTTTGAACGTGCAGCGATGCCCGACGACTGCTCTGAAGCAACTGCTTTCTGCACGGGGAAACATCCTCCATCTCCTCGCCGTCCTCATCCGCCCCCTCCTCCTCCTCCTCCTCCTCCTCCTCCTCCTCCTCCTTCGTCATCTTCGCGACCAGTCGACCGACATCCCCGCATGGGACTTCGATTTCCGACGGCACGTGCTTGCCCATAGCACATATCGGGAAACGCGCTCGCGATCCACGTTGAAGAATTGGCGCGTGGTCTCGCTGTTCCCAGCCCTGCCAGCGACCACCTTGCTCCCATGCGGCATGACCCATGACCCAGTCCAGCCGCGAGTCTGTCGCGAATGAGAGGCAACACGTCGCTGCAGACTGCGCACGCCTCGCGTCGCTCGTGCTCCCCCCCGTCGCTGCCTTGATCAACAGCAGACTGAGGCCGAAGAGGCGAGTCTGGCCCGCATGATATCGAAGTCCAAGCCATCGAGGCTGGCGGGCATGCAGCATGCAGCTTCGTATGTGCTTCTCCACCCCTCTCAAGCTCGAAGCGTGGCGCCGCCGTGTGGCGCGATATTTCGTGCCACGTTCGCCAAGGCTGAGTCCCAGCAGCCCCTGCACATATTCTGCTGAATTTGCGCTCCAACGTTGTGACAGCAGCGGCCGCTTCCCAGCGTCGATCCCCTGGGGGATGCTCATCGCGCGGGCAGTGCAAGAGGTTTGCCCTTTCTTTCCGGGTGCTTGCCGGGCGCCGTGATTACAGAAAAGGATTTTACAGAAAGGCCAACGACGTGTAATATCAAGGTCGCACGAATAGCAGTGCAACAATGGACAGTCGGGGCCGTGAAGAAGGAACCCTTTTCGTTGGAGAGGGGCTCGGCGTTCCTTGATTGTTCTGCAGTTTGCCTTCAGTCGTCCTGGGGTTTTCGATATGATGAAATCGAAGTTTAGCTTCTGGAAAATGGGGGCCTCGTTCCTGATTTGGGGTTCCTTAGGTCAACGCCCCGACTGTAGTCCCTTCGATCTACTTGCTGTGTGGAAGCTCTATGGCGCCAGCACCTCGTGGGAGGAAATACGCTGCACCTGACCACGATTGTGTTGACTCGGGTATCCTTCTCGCGGGGTCGAACCCGACGGTCTGAGGACCGCCTCGTGCGCGCCCTATGACCTCGAGCTCATCTTGGCATGCGTGACTTCTCTTGCTCTTCGCGAGCGCGTCTCGCGATGACTTGCCGATGGTGACACGCGTATGGCCACGGTGGGGAAGGCATGTCCGACAAGACCTGGATGATCGTGTGGCAGATGAACAAGACGGGGAGGGCGAAGAGGACGGGGAGCAGGAGACAGAGGAGAAAGAGGAGGAGGAGGATAAGGAGGAGGAACCTGAAGAGGAGGAGCATGGCCATCGAAGGATGGTGGATGGGGCAACACGACAAGGCGAGTGGTAGGGAGGCGAATGGAGCGCCGGCTGATGTCGAGAAAGCGGGTGGCTTCACGAAGCTGGCGCACACGATGGGGTTTGCAACGGCTTTCTGCTCGGGGGGTGCTCCCCGATCCGGCCACGGCGTCGGACGGGAAGGCGCCACGTCCCAGATCCAACGACGCAGACCACACATTTTTTCCTTTTCCATAATTGAGAACTCAGGTACTCCAGATTTCGTAATAAAGGGAGGGGGGTCTCATTTCGGGGGGGGTCTCTTCCAGGCTATCTTGGAGGGCCTGGGGGGGTCTGGGGACGCTGTTTTGGAGGGTTCTCCCACGGGGGAGGTCTGAAATGGCTTGTCTTGGAGGGTCCAGACCCCCTCCCTTTTATTACGAGGTCTGGAGTAACCTTCTTGACACAATGACTGTGCAATGGCACAATGAAAATGTCACGGAGTACCTCCCTGAGGCTGTGAGCGTGTCAAACGGTCGGGAAGGAAAAGCTGTACGCATGAAGTGATCCTCGTGCAGACCACACAGATCATCCTGCAGTGATGAAACTGCTGCTTGACCTCGCCCTGGCCCTGGCCCTCTGGCCTCGGTGCCCTCCCGGGGGCCTCTCGGGCCGCCTGGAGGCCGTCGGGGGCGGTCCTGGGACCCTCTGCGGGGCCTCCGGGGCCGTGTCGGGCTCGTCCGGGGAGCGTCTTGGGCCGGCTTTGGGCTTCCGGAGCCGGGGAAGGGCAAGAGCACGAAACGGATCCCCAAGCGGACAGGGATATGAGTGCTCTGGGCTTCTGCAGGCCCTCTCGGAGGTCCTCTTGGAGGCTCCCCTTGGGGGTCCTCTTGGAGCGCTCTCGGGGCCGTCTCAGAGGCTTCTTGGGTCGTCTTGGGATCAACTTGGGCCGCCTTGGAGTCCTGGGAGGCAGTTCTAACGTGCCGGGAAGCGCTTCCGGAGCGGCTGAGCCCGCCAGGACCATCATTTATCTCACACGCCGAGAACCTTCCAGCGGGGCGCCGATTTGTTTGAGGCGAGCGCGCGCGGCGTGAAGGCGGGAGCCACACTCTGAAGACCACCTCGCCCCAAGTCGTGTCACTGTCGGGAGCTCCCCTGGGAGGAACGCGCCCTGCGCTAAGGGGCGAGGCCCACACTTCGGATCCACGTCGCCTCCGGCCACGTGTAGCAGTCGGAGTAGGACCCAGACGAGCGGCGCTGAGGCGAGGGCACGACTCGCGCTCGAAGCGCGCAACTGTGGGAAATGTCAAGCTTCACGCTCACGACTTGCAAGGAGGTCTCAGGCGAGACGCCCTGGCCGCCATGCCGGCAGGTCTGTTGGTCGAGGGAGGAGGATGAGGGAGGAATGGAGATGGAGGAGGAGGAGGAGGAGAAAGAGGAAGAGGAGAAGGAGGAGGCGGAGGAGGAGGAGGGGAGGAGGAGGAGGGAGGAGGGGGAGGAGGGACGAGGAGGGAGGAGGAGGAGAAGGAGGAGGAGGAGGAGGACCAGTGTAAATCCAAAAGGCATCTGAATCTTTCCAAAACACCGTTTCTGGTACGTTGATCAAGTGAAACCGTGAAACTCACGACTGTGCGCGGCGCTGAGGCGAGAGCCACATTTTGAAAACCACTCGCCCTCAATCTGTGAAAAACTCTTCCACATGTTTGAAACGAATGTGCGCGGCGCTAAGACGAGAGCCACATGTTGAAAACCACTCGCCCTCCATCCGTGAAACACTGGCAATTTTTAAAGACGAATGTACGCGGCGCTAAGGCGAGAGCCACATGTTGAAAATCACCCGCCCTCCATCTTTGAAATTGCTGCCTACTTCTAAACTTCAGAGTCATAAATGGTGAGGAAGTCTCGGGCGAAACGCCCGGCCCGCCCTAAAAACTGGCCTCGGGGTGTGACAGGGAGAAGTTATTTGCGAGGAGAAGGAATGGAGGAGGAGGAGGAGGAGGAGGAGGAGGAGGAGGAGGAGGCAGATATGGGGGCTACTTAGGGGGGGCACAAGTGTGTTGATGGGGTCCGGTGCTATTTCTTCCTCAAGTGGCCCTCTCCGACTGGCCCCGAGGCCAGTGGAGCACCAGGTGCCCCATCCCAGACCCAACGAAGCAGACCAAACCAATCAGCCTGCAGCGATGAGGCTGATGCTGGACCTCGCCCTGGCTCTCGCCCTCTGTGCGCTGGGCCGCTCTGCCCTCCTCCGCTCCGGTGCGGACAACGTGGTGAAGCGGACCGCGGCTGGCACCAGCTTGCGCGCGAAGGTTGGGTACATGGTGCAGGACATGCTGCGGAGCAAGGGCACCACCACCCGGCACATAGCGGACAAGGTGCACAAGAAGATGAAGCTGAGCGACGCGCTGCCACTGCTGGAGGACAAGCTGCCCAAGGATGTGTCGTCCCTGTTGCGCCTGTCCAGCGGGGAGCACGCGGCCGGGCAGTTCAGCGAGGTGTCACTAGCGAAGGGCCGCGTGTACCTGAACAACATGATGTACGACGCGTGGCTCCAGCTGGACCAGCTCGAGGTCGAGTGCAAGGAGTTCGAGGAGAGCAACCGCATGGTCTTCAGCCAGGTGGTGACAGACCTGGAGCACCTGGGCTCGGATCTCGCCGACAGGGAGCGCATGAAGTCTGAGGCCGAAGGGGGCATCGCAGACATGAAGACTCGGATCAACGACCTGGAGGGCGCCCTGAACACACTGAAGCGGGGCTTCCAGTCAACCCGCGAGAAGAATGCGTACGAGCTGTCGCTGCGCCAGGACGACCAGGATGTCTTCACCGCCATCCTGCAGCTGTCCAAGTGCCCCAACGCCTACGGAGACGACACGTACTCCCTCGCACAGTTCCAGATCTGCGACACGGACAACGGCACGCGGGTGGAGGTGAGCAACGCCTCCCTGGCAGCGAAGCTGAACCGGTCGCCGCGGGTGCAGAAGGTGCTCCAGGAAGTCCTGGCGGCCGCTGGCTCAAGGGCGTCCTCGCTGCTGCAGGTCGATCAAGCGCCCCCGCCGCAGTCGGTTCAGAAGCCGAAGGGCGGCTCGAGGAAGTGCGTCAACGGCCAGGTCAACTGCGGTTACCTCCACGACCTCATGGCGCTGGAGTGGGGCAAGTTCAAGGACCTGGTGGACGAGCTGACCTACATCATGCAGCACAACCGCGACGCCTACGAGGGCGAGAAGGAGAACATGAACGAGCAGATTGCGACGCTGAGGTCGAACAAGATGAAGTTCACGGAGATGCTGGGCGAGGCCGTCTCCGAGATCAATTCGCTCACGGCGGCGACGCGCGAGAAGCAGCAGCAGCACCGTGACATCGAGCATGCCTTCAAGATGAAGATGGCAGACTGCAAGAAGCGCATGAGCGAGATCCTCTACACCAACATTTGCGGGACCCGGACCGTGCGCAATTCGCTGATGCGGTACAGCACTGTCTCGCCCACGGCGTCGATCAAGGACTGCGACGTGACCGACTGGTCCGCGGGGCCGTGCACTACCGACGGGAGGGGCAGCTCATTATCGGTAGACTGCGACGACAGCTGCCCGGCCGACGTCGGGGGCGTCGACGTCGACACGTGCGGTGGCATGAAGCAGCTCACCAGGCAGGTCATCGTCTCCCCGAACTCCTTCGGCATGGCCTGCCCCCCGCTCTTCTACGAGAGGCAGAACGGGACCGCTGGCATGAAGTGCAACCAGTTCCACTGCCCAGTCCACTGCTCCGTGTCCGAGTGGTCTGGCTGGTCCGCATGCTCCAAGGAGTGCGGGGGCGGCACCCAGGGGAAGACCCGCTCCATCCTCGTGAAGCCCAAGAACGGGGGGACGGAGTGCGACGCCACGCTCGAGGAGCAGCCGTGCAACACCGGTTCGTGCGACCGCGACTGCACGCTCATGCCCTGGACCGCGTGGGAGCCCTGCTCGATGGCCTGCGGCGGCGGCATCCAGGAGCGCGCGCGCAAGGTGGACATCCCCATCCGCGCGAACGGCAGGTGCCCCGGGCCGAAGCACCCCGACCGCTTCCAGATGCAGGAGCGCGCGCGCGACCCGGCCCGACCCCCTCCCCTCCCCTCCCCTCAGGCAGGGCTGCGGCGCGCCCCGCGCGCCTCGAGACAGCCCCGCCCCATGGGTGCAGACCCTCGGCGCCCCCCACCGGGGCCGGCCCGGCCCGGCCTCGGCCCGGCCTGGGCGGCCGCACGGCAGGAGTGCAACACCCAGGACTGCGTCGGCGACGAGATCTGCATCGCCAGGCCTGGGGGGGGGGGGCCGGGGCCGGGGCTGCATGGGGCGATCGCGGGCCCGGCCGGGCGGGCCCCCGCCCCACGGCGCGCCCCAGGGGCGCTGATCGGGCGGCCTCCCCCACGAGGGCCCCAGGGGGGCTCTGGGCCCTCGCGCACGAGGGCCCCCATGGGCCCATGGGGGCTCCTCTGGGGCTGCCCCCAATCGCCTCCCCGAGGCAGGCCTCGAGCGCGCCCCCCCCCTCCCCGCGCCGCCGCACAGGCAGGACCTCGTCATCGCGATCGACGGCAGCGGCTCCCTGAAGCAGGAGGGCTTCGACATCCTCCAGAAGTTCGCCCTGAACCTCACCAGCAGGTACCAGAGCACGTACTACGGCGTGGAGGACATGCGCATCGGGCTGGTGCTCTTCGGGAACGGCGAGTACTTCGACAACGGCACCGTCGCGGCGGCCCTCGAGGTGGTCCCGATCACGAGCGACCTGGAGTCCGTCAGCACGGCGATCGCTGGGCTGCAGTGGCAGCGCGGGTTCACCAACATGATGCAGGCCCTCCAGGCGGCCGACAACATGTTCGCGGAGGGCCGGGACGACGCGCAGAGCGCCGTCATGGTGCTCTCGGACGGCAAGTACACCAACGCGTACCGCACCACCATGAAGGCGACGGCGCTGAAGGACAAGGGCGTGCAGATCTTCATGGCCCCGATCGCCGAGAGCTCGACGAGTAGTCTGCTGGTGCTCAGGGGCTGGGCGAGCGAGCCCTGGGAGACCAACTACGAGCGCATCCCGGGCCTCACGGCGCTCATCAACAACGAGCCCGAGTTTGCCCAGAAGCTGCTGGTGAAGTTCTGCCCCCGCGCGTTCTCGCCATCGCAGCAAGCGGAGGAGGAGGCGCAGCAGGGCTACCTCAAGATCCACGAGCAGGGCTACCCCTCCGACAGCTGCGGCGAATGGAAGAGAATGCGCAATGCCGACACCGCCGAGGCTTGCATGGAGTTGGTGAAGGAGGTGGGGATCCTGGCCTTCTCGTTCGAGGAAGGGGGCCGCGGGGCAGGCACCTGCTACTCGGCGGCGGTCGACGTCACCGATGACCTGTGGGCCGAGGCGCTGAACGACCGCGTCAACCTGACGTGCCCGGGCGGCGCGTGGGTCTACAACGAGTACGCCTCCACCTACATCATGAACCCGAGCATGTTCGGAGACCTCTTCGACGAGAGCTCCTGAGCTCGCGGGGCGGCCGCGTGTCATGTAGCAGCACTGGGGGTGCTTCCAGCCGCGCTGCTGCACAGAGTTCGTGGGTGTTCCTCCATGGCAGCGGCCAGCAGGGAGGGAGCGAGATGGATCGAACCGAGGGGGATAGGCCGTGCCGTGAGATGTCGAGCGAAAGTGTGGCCACGCTGGTGGACTGCGTGTTCCCCCAGCCGTTGGGGAGACTGCTCGGGGGAACGCTGGCGAAAGGCCGCCTCGGGCCAGTCGTTCTTGTGAAGCCCCTTTGAGCCTCCCAGGGGGCCTTCTGGGGCCCTCTTGGGCCATCTTGGAGCCCTCTGGGGCTGTCTGACGGTGATTTCCGGCTCCCTAGCACCTCCAGGACTCTTCAGAACAGTTCGGGGGCCTTGGGGAGGGTTCTTGGGGTTTCTCGTGGGGGCTTCCTAGGGCCTCTTGGCAGTTTCTCGGGGGGCCTCCTGGGAGCCTTTGGAGGGTCTCTTGCAGGCCTTTGGGGCACGTCGTGGCGCCATGTCGCGAGTCTTGGCGGCCATCTTCAGTGGAAGGCTCCCGGGTCGCTTTCGAGTTCCCCCCAGGGCCTCGGGGCCCTCTTGGGGGCCTCTCGGGCCGTCTTCAGGCCGTCGGGGACCATCTTGGGACCCTCTTCGGGGCCTCTGGGGCCGTGTCGGGCTGGTCTGGGGAGCGTCTTGGGCCGACGTGGGCTTTCGGAACCGGGGAAAGGCAAGAACACGAAACGGATCCCAAAGCGTCTAGGATATAAATGAGTTGGGCTTCTGGTGGCCATCTTGGAGGTCCTCTTGAAGGCCCTCTTGGAGCTCCTCTTGGAGCGCTCTCGGAGCCATCTTAGGGGCTTCTTGGGCCGTATTGGGGTCATCTTGGGCCGCCTTGGAGTCCTGGGGGGCCGTCTCGGAGCCCGAATGTCTCGTCTTGGGGCCATCTGGGGCAGTTTTAACGTGCCGGGGAGCGCTTCTGGAGCGGATGCATCAGATGAGAATGCCGAGAATCCTCCAGTGGGTCGCCGATTTTTTTAAGGCGAACGTGCGCGGCGTGAAGGCGGGAGCCACACTCTGAAGACCACCTCGCTTCAATTCGTGTAACTGTCGGGAGCTCGTGGGACGAATGCTAGCTGCGCTAAGGCGAGACCCACATTTCGGATCCACATCGCCTCCATCCGTGTAGCGGTCGGAATAGGACTGAGACGAGCGGCGCTGAGGCGAGAGTCGCACCCTGAGAACGACTCGCGCTCGAGGCGTGCAGTTGTGGGAAATTTCAAGCTTCACGCTCACGACTTGCAAGGAGGCCTCAAGCGAGACGCCCTGGCCGCCATGGCGACAGGTCTGTTGGTCGAGGGAGGAGGATGAGGGAGGAATGGAGATGGAGGAGGAGGAGGAGGAGGAGGAGGAGGAGGAGGAGGAGGAGGAGGAGGAGGAGGCAGAGGTGGAGGAGGAGGAGGAGGAGGAGGAGGAGGAGGAGGAGGAGGAGGAGGAGGAGGAGGAGGAGGAGGAGGAGGAGGAGGAGGAGGAGGAGGAGGAGGAGGGAGGAGGAGGAGGGGAGGAGGGAGGAGGAGGGAGGAGGAGGAGGAGAAGGAGGAGGAGGAGGACCAATGTAAATCCAAGAGGCATCAACGATGTTGGAATCCACCCTCCCTCCAAGCTCCCTCTTCATAGGCCCCTACAACGGTTCATTTTTACTGAGGGGACTGCCTCGTTGGAAGACAACTGTTTGAAGACCCTGAAGCATGCCAAAACATTGTTCTCGGGATTCCAACGCCACGGATCATCCTGACTGTTGCGTCTTGACGGTCCTGAATCGTGTCAGAAAGCTATTCTTAGGACTTGAACACCACGAATCAACATAACTTGTGAACCCTCATTAGCCTGAATCTTTCCAAAACACCGCTTCTGGTACGTTGATCACGTGAATCCGTGAAACTCACGAATGTGCGCGGCGCTGAGGCGAGAGCCACATTTTGAAAACCACTCGCCCTCAATCCGTGCAAAACTCTTCCACATGTTTGAAACGAATGTGCGTGGCGCTAAGACGAGAGCCACATGTTGAAAACCACTCGCCCTCCATCCGTGAAACACTGGAAGATTTTTTAAGACGAATGTACGCGGCGCTAAGTCGAGAGCCACATTTTGAAAACCACCCGCCCTCCATCTTTGAAGTTGCTGCCTACTTCTAAACTTCAGAGTCATGAATGTTGAGGAAGTCTCGGGCGAAACGCCCAGCCCGCCCTAAAAATTGGCCTCGGGGTGTGACAGGGAGGAGTTATTTGTAAGGAGAAGGAATGGAGGAGGAGGAGCAGGAGGAGGAGGAGGAGGAGGAGGAGGAGGCAGATATGGGGGCTAGGGGGGGCACAAGTGTGTTGATGGGGGCCGGTGCTATTTCTTCCTCAAGTGGCCCTCTCCGACTGGCCCCGAGGCCAGTGGAGCGCCAGGTGCCCCATCCCAGACCCAACGAAGCAGACCAAACCAATCAGCCTGCAGCGATGAGGCTGATGCTGGACCTCGCCCTGGCTCTCGCCCTCTGTGCGCTGGGCCGCGCTGCCCTCCTCCGCTCTGGTGCGGACAACGTGGTGAAGCGGACCGCGGCCGGCACCAGCTTGCGCGCGAAGGTTGGGTACATGGTGCAGGACATGCTGCGGAGCAAGGGCACCACCACCCGGCACATCGCGGACAAGGTGCACAAGAAGATGAAGCTGAGCGACGCGCTGCCACTGCTGGAGGACAAGCTGCCCAAGGATGTGTCGTCCCTGTTGCGCCTGTCCAGCGGGGAGCACGCGGCCGGGCAGTTCAGCGAGGTGTCACTAGCGAAGGGCCGCGTGTACCTGAACAACATGATGTACGACGCGTGGCTCCAGCTGGACCAGCTCGAGGTCGAGTGCAAGGAGTTCGAGGAGAGCAACCGCATGGTCTTCAGCCAGGTGGTGACAGACCTGGAGCACCTGGGCTCGGACCTCGCCGACAGGGAGCGCATGAAGTCTGAGGCCGAAGGGGGCATCGCAGACATGAAGACTCGGATCAATGACCTGGAGGGCGCCCTGAACACACTGAAGCGGGGCTTCCAGTCAACCCGCGAGAAGAATGCGTACGAGCTGTCGCTGCGCCAGGACGACCAGGATGTCTTTACCGCCATCCTGCAGCTGTCCAAGTGCCCCAACGCCTACGGAGACGACACGTACTCCCTCGCACAGTTCCAGATCTGCGACACGGACAACGGCACGCGGGTGGAGGTGAGCAACGCCTCCCTGGCAGCGAAGTTGAACCGGTCGCCGCGGGTGCAGAAGGTGCTCCAGGAAGTTCTGGCGGCCGCTGGCTCCGGGGCGCCCTCGCTGCTGCAGGTCGATCAAGCGCCCCCGCCGCAGTCGGTTCAGAAGCCGAAGGGCGGCTCGAGGAAGTGCGTCAACGGCCAGGTCAACTGCGGCTACCTCCACGACCTCATGGCGCTGGAGTGGGGCAAGTTCAAGGACCTGGTGGACGAGCTGACCTACATCATGCAGCACAACCGCGACGCCTACGAGGGCGAGAAGGAGAACATGAACGAGCAGATTGCGACGCTGAGGTCGAACAAGATGAAGTTCACGGAGATGCTGGGCGAGGCCGTCTCCGAGATCAATTCGCTCACGGCGGCGACGCGCGAGAAGCAGCAGCAGCACCGTGACATCGAGCATGCCTTCAAGATGAAGATGGCAGACTGCAAGAAGCGCATGAGCGAGATCCTCTACACCAACATTTGCGGGACCCGGACCGTGCGCAATTCGCTGATGCGGTACAGCACTGTCTCGCCCACGGCGTCGATCAAGGACTGCGACGTGACCGACTGGTCCGCGGGGCCGTGCACTACCGACGGGAGGGGCAGCTCATTATCGGTAGACTGCGACGACAGCTGCCCGGCCGACGTCGGGGGCGTCGACGTCGACACGTGCGGTGGCATGAAGCAGCTCACCAGGCAGGTCATCGTCTCCCCGAACTCCTTCGGCATGGCCTGCCCCCCGCTCTTCTACGAGAGGCAGAACGGGACCGCTGGCATGAAGTGCAACCAGTTCCACTGCCCAGTCCACTGCTCCGTGTCCGAGTGGTCTGGCTGGTCCGCATGCTCCAAGGAGTGCGGGGGCGGCACCCAGGGGAAGACCCGCTCCATCCTCGTGAAGCCCAAGAACGGGGGGACGGAGTGCGACGCCACGCTCGAGGAGCAGCCGTGCAACACCGGTTCGTGCGACCGCGACTGCACGCTCATGCCCTGGACCGCGTGGGAGCCCTGCTCGATGGCCTGCGGCGGCGGCATCCAGGAGCGCGCGCGCAAGGTGGACATCCCCATCCGCGCGAACGGCAGGTGCCCCGGGCCGAAGCACCCCGACCGCTTCCAGATGCAGGAGCGCGCGCGCGACCCGGCCCGACCCCCTCCCCTCCCCTCCCCTCAGGCAGGGCTGCGGCGCGCCCCGCGCGCCTCGAGACAGCCCCGCCCCATGGGTGCAGACCCTCGGCGCCCCCCACCGGGGCCGGCCCGGCCCGGCCTCGGCCCGGCCTGGGCGGCCGCACGGCAGGAGTGCAACACCCAGGACTGCGTCGGCGACGAGATCTGCATCGCCAGGCCTGGGGGGGGGGGGCCGGGGCCGGGGCTGCATGGGGCGATCGCGGGCCCGGCCGGGCGGGCCCCCGCCCCACGGCGCGCCCCAGGGGCGCTGATCGGGCGGCCTCCCCCACGAGGGCCCCAGGGGGGCTCTGGGCCCTCGCGCACGAGGGCCCCCATGGGCCCATGGGGGCTCCTCTGGGGCTGCCCCCAATCGCCTCCCCGAGGCAGGCCTCGAGCGCGCCCCCCCCCTCCCCGCGCCGCCGCACAGGCAGGACCTCGTCATCGCGATCGACGGCAGCGGCTCCCTGAAGCAGGAGGGCTTCGACATCCTCCAGAAGTTCGCCCTGAACCTCACCAGCAGGTACCAGAGCACGTACTACGGCGTGGAGGACATGCGCATCGGGCTGGTGCTCTTCGGGAACGGCGAGTACTTCGACAACGGCACCGTCGCGGCGGCCCTCGAGGTGGTCCCGATCACGAGCGACCTGGAGTCCGTCAGCACGGCGATCGCTGGGCTGCAGTGGCAGCGCGGGTTCACCAACATGATGCAGGCCCTCCAGGCGGCCGACAACATGTTCGCGGAGGGCCGGGACGACGCGCAGAGCGCCGTCATGGTGCTCTCGGACGGCAAGTACACCAACGCGTACCGCACCACCATGAAGGCGACGGCGCTGAAGGACAAGGGCGTGCAGATCTTCATGGCCCCGATCGCCGAGAGCTCGACGAGTAGTCTGCTGGTGCTCAGGGGCTGGGCGAGCGAGCCCTGGGAGACCAACTACGAGCGCATCCCGGGCCTCACGGCGCTCATCAACAACGAGCCCGAGTTTGCCCAGAAGCTGCTGGTGAAGTTCTGCCCCCGCGCGTTCTCGCCATCGCAGCAAGCGGAGGAGGAGGCGCAGCAGGGCTACCTCAAGATCCACGAGCAGGGCTACCCCTCCGACAGCTGCGGCGAATGGAAGAGAATGCGCAATGCCGACACCGCCGAGGCTTGCATGGAGTTGGTGAAGGAGGTGGGGATCCTGGCCTTCGCGTTCGAGGAAGGGGGCCGCGGGGCAGGCACCTGCTACTCGGAGGCGATCGACGTCACCGATGACCTGTGGGCCGAGGCGCTGAACGACCGCGTCAACCTGACGTGCCCGGGCGGCGCGTGGGTCTACAACGAGTACGCCTCCACCTACATCATGAACCCGAGCATGTTCGGAGACCTCTTCGACGAGAGCTCCTGA